TGTACAAGCAGCACAAATCGTTCATCTGTTTTTGGGCTATGCAGAAAAGTTAAGAACAAAGGCGTTGTATTCTTATTTTTTCCGAGCTTTTACGCTAAAGATAATAGATTTTGAGGTTGTTAGAGAATATTGCTAAAAACGACAAAATACTAAATTTTGAATCTACAAGCAGCACAAATCGTTCATCTGTTTTTGGGCTATGCAGAAAAGTTAAGAACAAATGCGTTGCATTCTTATTTTTTCCGAGCTTTTACGCTAAAGATAATAGATTTTGAGGTTGTTAGTGAATATTGCTAAAAACGACAAAATACTAAATTTTGAATCTACAAGCAGCACAAATCGTTCATCTGTTTTTGGGCTATGCAGAAAAGTTAAGAACAAAGGCGTTGTATTCTTATTTTTTCCGAGCTTTTACGCTAAAGATAATAGATTTTGAGGTTGTTAGAGAATATTGCTAACAACGACAAAATACGAAATTTTGAATCTACAAGCAGCACAAATCGTTCATCTGTTTTTGGGCTATGCAGAAAAGTTAAGAACAAATGCGTTGCATTCTTATTTTTTCCGAACTTTTACGCTAAAGATAATAGATTTTGAGGTTGTTAGTGAATATTGCTAAAAACGACAAAATACTAAATTTTGAATCTACAAGCAGCACAAATCGTTCATCTGTTTTTGGGCTATGCAGAAAAGTTAAGAACAAAGGCGTTGTATTCTTATTTTTTCCGAGCTTTTACGCTAAAGATAATAGATTTTGAGGTTGTTAGAGAATATTGCTAAAAACGACAAAATACGAAATTTTGAATCTACAAGCAGCACAAATCGTTCATCTGTTTTTGGGCTATGCAGAAAAGTTAAGAACAAACGCGTTGTATTATTATTTTTTCCGAGCTTTTACGCTAAAGATAATAGATTTTGAGGTTGTTACAGAATATTGCTAAAAACGACAAAATACTAAATTTTGAATCTACAAGCAGCACAAATCGTTCATCTCTTTTTGGGCTATGCAGAAAAGTTAAGAACAAACGCGTTGTATTCTTATTTTTTCCGAGCTTTTACGCTAAAGATAATAGATTTTGAGGTTGTTAGAGAATATTGCTAAAAACGACAAAATACGAAATTTTGAATCTACAAGCAGCACAAATCGTTCATCTGTTTTTGGGCTATGCAGAAAAGTTAAGAACAAACGCGTTGTATTCTTATTTTTTCCGAGCTTTCACGCTAAAGATAATAGATTTTGAGGTTGTTAGAGAATATTGCTAACAACGACAAAATACGAAATTTTGAATCTACAAGCAGCACAAATCGTTCATCTGTTTTTGGGCTATGCAGAAAAGTTAAGAACAAAGGCGTTGTATTCTTATTTTTTCCGAGCTTTTACGCTAAAGATAATAGATTTTGAGGTTGTTAGAGAATATTGCTAAAAACGACAAAATACTAAATTGTGAATCTACAAGCAGCACAAATCGTTCATCTGTTTTTGGGGTATGCAGAAAAGTTAAGAACAAACGCGTTGCATTCTTATTTTTACCGAGCTTTTACGCTAAAGATAATAGATATTGAGGTTGTTAGGGAATATTGCTAAAAACGACAAAATACTAAATTTTGAATCTACAAGCAGCACAAATCGTTCATCTGTTATTGAGCTATGCAGAAAAGTTAAGAACAAAGGCGTTGTATTCTTATTTTTTCCGAGCTTTTACGCTAAAGATAATAGATTTTGAGGTTGTTAGAGAATATTGCTGAAAACGACAAAATACGAAATTTTGAATCTACAAGCAGCACAAATCGTTCATCTGCTGTTTTACATCAAAAATTTGGGTTTATGCAGTTAAGAACACGTTGTATTATTTTTGCCGAGCTTTTTCGCCAAAAATAATAGATTTTGTCGATGTTAGAGAATATTGCTGAAAACGACAAAATACCAAATTTTGAATCTTCAAGCAGCACAAATCGTTCATCTGTTTTTGGGCTATGCAGAAAAGTTAAGAACAAACGGTTGTATTCTTATTTTTGCCTAGCTTTTAAGCTATAGATAGGTAATAAATTTTGTCCATGTTGGAGAATATTGCAGAAAACGACAAAATACGAAATGTCGAATCTACAAGCAGCACAAATCCTTAATCTGCTATTTTACAACATACATTTGGGTTTCTGCAGATAAGTTAAGAACAAACCCTTGCTATTCTTATTTGGCACCCAGTTTTATGGCTAAAGATAATAGATTTTATGGATGTTGCAGGGTGCATTGCTACCCAATTCCTAAATACAGCTACCTGCTTATCATAACTGGGGTGTACTTAAATATCATTCAAACAAACATTAACTAGTATTTGGACTAGACTGGATATTATCATACTGTCACAGGTAGTTAAAGTGTGAACATCAGAGTGAGTAGTGAGGTGAAAAAGTCGCGAATAGAGTTGGAAAAATACGCTATAAGGTTACCATCCATCAACTGATATGAAAGTTCTCCTAAATCGGGGGGTGAGCACATCTGGAGGTTGTTTAAGAGGCCAAAGGAGGACAGGTAACGTTGAGATTATCGAAGAAATTTGAATAATATTGATACGTTCAAAATAATAATATTTTTTTTATTATTTCTTTACAAACGGCTAAAATAAGACTCAAGCAGATGTTAATGATAATGAGATATTATTCACAACAAATTTAAATGTTTAGTAATAAATTATCACAATAAAGCAAACTGGCGTACTTTTCAAAGCACAGTACACCAAAAAGTAGAAAGGCAAACGAGATTTTTAGAAAAGTGAAAAAAAAGCAGTATTATGAAATGAAGTAATGATCTTTTCACTTTTTGTCGGAAAGCTGGTAATGATTATTGTTTATACAATATAAAAGTAAGGCGGTTTAGACGTAACTAATAATTTATGAATGAAAACTGAGTAGCGATATTTGACCAAATCATTTATTTTCAACCAGTTGAGTTTTGGATATTTTTCTGATACACGATTAAATTTTTCGAAAAATAAAACGCACACAACATAGATAGTATGTCACAATAATTTATTTAGAATAGATATGACTTTGTTGTAACAAAGTACAGTTACAAATAGCGAAAAACGTTGAAAGTTTTTGTATCGTGATGAATGAATGGAAGTACCAATGTTGTTACTTCACGGATTCGCACACATTTGAAACGCAGATTTTAGAAGTTTTTATTTGATGTTTTGGAATAGCTAGGATCTATGCATCCCATCCCTTAGGCCTGTTCTCTGCCTGTTGGCGTTTTTTTTTACCCTTGTAATCTCGAAAACGGCTGCACTGATTTTGGTGGTCATAGTAGGTACCAATTTTTGAAAAATGATCTCGATAGGGACCGACAAAAAACAGAAACGTTACAGATGCTCCCTACATTTTATTTATGCACGTTTTATAGATTTTTGACGATGTATAGACGTAATTGAAAAACTTTCGAGACGAAATTTTGCAAAGCTAATAGCGAGGAACTGCCTATTGTAATCGTGAAAAATTGCTTGCACACCTTTAAGACTTCGAGAGATTGAATTTTAGATCTGTGAGGGGGCGGGGGACTTTCGTCTTCCGAAACATGGAAATAATATGCTCCTTTTACTTCCTAGTTCACTGGCAAGGAAGTATATTCGCGATAAATTTCGTAAAATGATTTATTTTGTTTGTCGGATGTTATATGACATGTACATCGCGAAAAATCGTCTCACTTATTTCACAAGCAAAAAACTAAGAAAAAAAAATCGCTCAATTCAAAGTACTTCCCGAGAGAGACAAATTTTCTCAAAATATTTTTTTTTCCTGACTTTATTTGTATTGGGATTTCGTATTAAACATAATTTTTCGTCTCTTGCCCTCCAGCATCAACTTTATTTTTTCTTATAAACGCCATATTGGATTTTTACACAGCTAAATAGAGTTTATAATTCTGATTAAAAAAATGTATAATATGTCATACGTTGACATTGTCAAACCTTAGTTATTTCAGAAAAACAGAATTTCCTAGGTAGGCCTTGAAATTATCAGATAGTCATTTGTTTCGTATACCAGGCCAGACCTCAAATTGAATGTAGTAACAGAGTTTTAAAGACTGAGAAAAACGAAAATAAATCGAGCAGTGAACAATGTACACAGAAGAGTCAGGCTTTACCTACAAAGTAATGGACTTCATTTTGAAAATCTGCTATAATTTATCTCTGATATTTATTATTATTTATTACCATCAATTATATAATTATATTTTCATTTTGTGTCCATCTTTCAGGGCTACCTTGGATTTTTTTTTAAGTAACTAAGGTTTGGCAATGAATGTATACATCTTTGAAATCCGAATCAAAAACTATTTATCTGCGTAAAAATCCAAAATGGCGTCCATAAGAAAAAAAAAGTTGATGCTGGAGGGATGAAACGTCATATCAAAATTCTAAATATAGCATCTTGTAGAGAAGAAATAGTGGCAATGTTAATGTGCAACTTATTTTGAAATCCAAGTACAAATAATGTCAGAAAAAAATTAAAACGATTTTGTGAAAATTCTGTTTTTCTCTCTGGAAGCACTTTGAATTTCGAAACTTTCTAAGCTGCATTTTGTTAATTACTCAAATACCCCACTTCGCCCCCATTTAAGCGACTCATACAGTTTCCGATACCCCACTGGTGAGAGAGTTGAATTTTAAACACCCGGTATAGGTTTTTTACGTAATAAACCTACCGTTCTTATGCCCTGTCCAGACTCACGCGCGGACCCGCGAACTACCCGCGACCCATAAGTGTGAATCCCATTCGCGACTTAACGTCGCGTTCGCGCCTTGTTCCCGTTTGTTGTCGGTTTTTTTGTTCCCGCGACAAAGGGTTCGCAAGGCGCGAACATGACTAGGCTCCTTATTCGCTGGTGGCTCATTTGCCTCATAGCTACGCATAGCACGCCGTGACTTGCGCGTGAGTCTGGAGAAGGTATTAGACAGGTTGGAACAAAATTATATTTGACGTGATATTTTCATTTTCGTTCCAGGAGGCGCCATCTGCAGCAGTGGTATTGTCGCTGGTGCAGTGCCTGCGTACAGCGGCATCACGCTGCCCTCTGTCGTCACCCTGGAGGATCCGGCCGCCAGCTGGAAGGGACCGCCGGCCGGCTCGGAGCCGCAGAACTTCGCCCAGGCCCCTCAAGGGGGGCCGGGGGGCGCTGGTGGCGGCGGGGGGCCCGGCCAACCGGGGGGCGGAGGGCCTCCCGGACCCCCCGGCCAGAACGCTCCCTTCGGTCCAGGCAGCGGTCCCGGTGGGGGGCCTGGAGGAGGTCCCGGCGGCGGTGGACCCCCGCCCGGCTTCCAAGGACCGCCCTTCAATGCCGGACCGCCCACCGGCGCCGCTTCGCCCGCGTCACAAGCTCCACCCTATGGAGGCGGACCAGGACAAGGCCCGCCTCCGGGGTCAACCACCCCGCAGTACACCGCATCGCCAGCACCGAGCGGGTCGTCGACGCCTGGACCCACAGGACAAAACGTAAGTTACAATTTCAAACAGGGATGCGATGATTTTCGGGAGTAGCCCATTCTGGCCTCTCCCATTATTGCATGTATCGGTGCGGGGTCTAGCATGGTTTCAATTGCTTCATTGCACCTGTGATCGACAGACAAGCAAGTCTTTTTACCTTGTTAAATCACCAGAGATGCATAAGCCATCTAGGTTACTTCAACAGGAGCTCCTGACCAAAAAGTATCTGTAGCGAAACTGTATTTTTTTCAATTGAAACGATTTTTGAGATGTTTTCTGTTGTTCCAGAATACCGGCGGCTTCCCTCCTCCACCCCCAAACAGTGCGGGGCCCCCGTACAACGGCCCCACCGGTCCATTCGGGTCCCCTTCCGCTGGGGGCGGTGGCGGACCGCCGTTCGGTCGCCCCGCCTCTTCGGGACCCCCGTTCGTGCCGTCAGGGGCAGCCGCGGCCCCTGGCAATCACTTCCAGCACTTCGGACCTGGTTTCGGCATGCCTCCGGGGTCCCCGTTCGGGCCGGGACCCCCGCCGGGGCATCCGATGGGCGGACCACCCATGGAACCTGGACCCCCCGGACACGGACTTATGGGAAGGCAGATGGGCGGACCGATGGGCGTCGAACAAGGGTGAGTACATTTTTTACGAATATATGTAACATTCGTTATGTTTATCCCAAAAATCGGTCCAAGCCGTATTTTCCTTGGAAATCTACGAAATAAAATATATCCTGAGCACGTTGGAAGAATGAATGCTAAAGGTCTCGTTACGAAAATCGGCTGGAAAAGCATATTTCGAGCATGAAAGTCAGAGTAATTTTCCTTTCAAGTTGATCATCACATCGATAACATCTTCAAAGATTGAAGCCGGTATTCGGTATGATTACGAAAATCGGACAGTTATCTTGAAAATCTCCTGGAGGAGCATATTTCAAGACAGCTCAAAGTTAAATGTTTATCTCTAAAGTTAGCAATACAAATATTATCCAAAGCATCTTGAAAAACTGTTTTTGGTTTGTTTTACTCGATAACGAAAATCGGAGTCTTACACAAAAAATCGGCTCGAGCGGGTATATCTCGAGAATGAGTGTTCAAATTTTTCTTTCCTCTTATCTTACTGATATAAACACATCCAGAGTATCTTGAAAAAAATTTAAGCCTATATCGAAATTCATTTACTCGCAAATCGGACTGCGAAAAATCGCCTGGATGAGCATATTTCGAGACTGACAGCTCAAAATCAAATACTTCAGCTCTAAAGTCGACTACACAAATAACATCCAGAGCATTTTCCAGAGCCGAAGCCGATTTTGAGTTCGCTTTACTCGGTAACGAAAATCGGACTCTTACACCAAAAATCGCCTGGATGAGCATATTCCGAGACTAACAGCTCAAAATCGAATATTTCAGCTTCAAAGTCGACTATACAAAGAACGTCCAGATCATCTTGTAGAAAGAAGCCGATTTTGGGTTCGCTATACTCGGTAACGAAAATCGGACTCTTACACCAAAAATCGGCTGGATGAGCATATTCCGAGACTAACAGCTCAAAATCGAATATTTCAGCTTCAAGGTCGACTATACAAATAACATCCAGATCACCTTGTAGAAAGAAGCCGATTTTGGGTTCGCTATACTCGGTAACGAAAATCGGACTCTTACACCAAAAATCGCCTGGATGAGCATATTTCGAGAGCGGTAGTGGGAAATCAGATTTTTCGCTTCTAAAATCGACCATATCCCATGGGTCTTAGAGACAGAAGCTGGTATAGGCTTCTCTTTATACGGTTACAAAAATCGGCTTTTCCTTCGTGTAAATCACACGTGGAAAAGCACGAAAGGTTTTTGATACTTAAGCAGAAACTTCCTACTGTCTAATTGAATCTTTAGGCACTAATACGTAAATCAGACTTTTGTCACAAAATCGGCAAGTGTTCTATAAAGAAATCGGTTACGAAAATCGGACTCTTACTCCAAAAATCGCCTGGATGTGCATATTCCGAGACTAACAGCTCAAAATCGAATATTTCAGCTTCTAAGTCGACTATACAAATAACCTCCAGATCACCTTGTACAACCGAAGCCGATTTTGAGTTCGCTTTACTCGGTAACGAAAATCGGACTCTTACACCAAAAATCGCCTGGATGAGCGTATTTCGATAGCGGTAGTGGGAAATCAGATTTTTCACTTCTAAAATCGACCATATCCCATGGGTCTTAGAGATTGAAGCTGGTATAGGCTTCTCTTTATACGGTTACAAAAATCGGCTTTTCCTTCGTGTAAATCAGACGAAAGGTTTTTGATACTTGAGCAGAAACTTCCTACTGTCTAATTGAATCTTTAGACACCAATACGTAAATCAGAATTTTGTCACAAAAATCGGCAATTGTTCTATAAATAAATCGGTTACGAAAATCGGACTCTTACACCAAAAATCGCCTGGATGAGCATATTTCGAGAGCGGTAGTGGGAAATCAGATTTTTCACTTCTAAAATCGACCATATCCCATGGGTCTTAGAGATTGAAACTGGTATAGGCTTCTCTTTATACGGTTACAAAAATCGGCTTTTCCTTCGTGTAAATCAGACGTGGAAAAGCACGAAAGGTTTTTGATACTTAAGCAGAAACTTCCTACTGTCTAATTGAATCTTTAGGCACTAATACGTAAATCAGACTTTTGTACACAAAAATCGGAAAGTGTTCTATAAAGAAATCGGTTACGAAAATCGGACTGTTACTCCAAAAATCGCCAGGATAAGCGTATTTCGGCACTAACAGGTGAAAATGAGATATTTCTAAAGCTCTAAAGTTGACAATACAAATAACAGCCAGAGCATCTTGTAAGACTGAAACCGATTTTTGGTTATACAAAATTCGCCTTGATGAGCATATTTCGACACTAACACCTCAAAATGACATATTTCTAAAGCTCTAAAGTTCACCATACAAATAACAATCAGAGCATCTTGAAAAACTGAAGCCGATTTTGGATTCGTTTTATGTGATTACGAAAATCGGACAGTTACGCAAAAAGTCGCTTGGGGGACGTTTCGAGAGTTACAGTTAGAGAGAATGTTTCACCTTTAAACTTAACACAAGTATATCCATAGAATCTAGAAAAAATAAAGCAGATATAGGATTTGTTTTACGCGAAAATCGGACTTTTGGCCCAAAAATCGGTTGTAGAAGTAAACTTTGTGCGGTAGAGTACTGTTGATTTAGGCGAACTTTTCGAAACCGATTTTCAAGGTAGATTTGAATAATCGAAGGAGGTTTTTTAATGAATTTAAGAAGTATGAGAGCTACTGATTTTTGGTTGTCATGCGCCATTGTTATATTGCCTGTCTAATCTTTCTGTGACACCTGTTTTCTTCAGTCTAACATACTCGGTGCTCTTAGGCGGTGAGTTATAAGTGATGAAGAATCAACCCCTAGGGCTGTACTATGTGGTGTAATCACCAGCACGCGCGGCTAGATATGTAAATACGTAGTATTTTTGTATGTGTGTGTGCGGCAAGCCGGCAAGGGAGGGGGGGCGGTTGGGGGTTGTAGGGGTTGAATAGGGTTGGTAGTAAGGGAAAAGGGGGGTTGCACGCTGCGGCAAAATTCTCTGCCGCTCGGCGTTGTCGACGGTAACGTTCTCTGCTGCCGCTCCCCGGCTGGATATGTAGGGGGTGGGTTTTTGGAGGGTAAAGGGGAGTTCGGTGAGCGGGAGGCGGCAGCGTCAGCATAGAAGCGGCGGCGTGGTTTCAAACATGGACGGAGTTGCGATTTTATCGGTTCAGCCTGTAATGCATTTTTTATTCAATAATCAGGACGGTAATTTGATTAATTAACATTTTATGGATTGGTTGTAAATGAAGTATCTGCTATTTTCTGTGAGAGTCATCGTATATCATTATAATCATATATACTAATAATGAAACGTCTTTATTTTGCGAAATTTGTCATAAGCTATTCTACCACTTAACCCGTATAATGTCTATGCACAAAATAAACAATATATACCACTAAAAATGCAGATGTTACGACTTAAAAATAAATTGAGTAAAATAAATCAAGATTGGATAAAAGTATATTTATTTTGATTTCTAAATTACTTAGGAGATAATATATTTACTTTTGGTTTTTCTGGATTTAATCTAAGATTATGAAAAAACTGAATTTTGCAGTGTTGAACAATATTATCAAGATTGGAGATATATAAAATGAAAAGAAGTGGCCCAAGAACCGACCCTTGAGCCACTCCCGATTATATTAAAGCTTCAGGAGAAGTGTTCATATCAATGATTTTTTTTATGCTGGTACGTTTATCACATATCTCAGATTTCCCTGAACATTAGCCCCAAAAAACAATGTTATCAGTCTCTTTTTTTTTTTTGTAAAAAATGCATTTTCTTCTTCAAACGTAAGTTGTGAATCCACTTTTATGGAAGAAGTGAGGAGTGAGTACTTTTTCATCATTTTCTCTCTTCGAAGAATCTCTGCTTTTATTGAAAGCTCAATTTGTTGCAAAATGAGACATTCTTTACATATAGTCAAAATCATGAAATATAACTATTACGTCATATCATAAATTGTACCGAAGTAATCAATGGACGTACGTCGATGATAAAATCGTGAGTCGGGAAAATAATGACAATAAATTTATTATATTATGATTTTGCGAAGTTAGGTTATTACACTGATTATTTTTATTTTCATTTTATTGCATGGTTTTGAGTGATACCTTAATAATAATTTTAGTGACAGGACAGGAACACCAAAGACAAAAGTATTATTCGAAAACAACCTAACCTCCTTTAACATAACCTAACTATATAATAAAATCATGTTTGTCTCTGTCTAACATATCTGAAACTTCATTAAAAATATTCCTACAAATCGCTGTCGTTAGTCTTTGCTACAAACTAAAATGATGACGTAATCGTCATCTTTCGTGATTTCGACTATATGGTAGTTGGTTCAACATGCTGCACGTTTTTCCATAAAGGCGTCTAGATAACAAGTTTCATCAATTGCAAGCCGAAATTTTGGAACAAACAAGTCAGGAAATCTTGCAAAATGTATATCAAAATTGGAAAATAAATGGCTGGAGATCAGTCGAAACAGGTTTCTTTTTTTAATCAGATACATATGTCGGCTCAACTGCACAATAAAATTTACAAGGAAAATCAGCCCAAGAAAATCAACTTTTAAAAACCGATCAAAATCTAGTTTCGTGTTTAATTTCTTTTTCTTAAATTCTTAATGACAGCAGACTTGACATTTCTGTCCTACTATCACAAAATTTTAAATACGGTTCTGTCTAAAACTGACCAATCAAATGCTGTCCGATCACATACTGGCAAAGTAGGCACCTTTTTGATCAGTATTTGTTTTATAAAATTACAGGAATATCTATAAGCAATGTATTTGTTATCGCCGAAAAGTTAACAACATGATCACCTAACAAAACCATTAGTTGTGTTATCTTGAACATAAAATTCGTAATTACACTTTGTATTCCACTTTTGTCTAAACTGGCACATTCACCCTAGTTTTGAAAGAAGGAAAGGATTAAAAACGAGCCAGCACGAGCCCTCAAGATTTGACGTATGCAACGCCATTGAAACTAAGAGCAGAGGAGAGCTGCAAAATTAATCAAAGATCTACTT